ATGAACTCACCCACGGCAACCCCCACATTGTTTTGCTCTCATGTGTGTGCACAGGCAGACCTTGCCTCCCCTTCCCCACCAGTGTGCATGCACCCCACCATGCCACTGCTGCCAGTGTAAGAGCACCCTGCCCACAATGCTGTGCCACCACTGCCAATGCGAAGGCACACAAGGAGATGAGCAGCCCCACCACCCTGCTCTGCATGGCCACTGCTGCACATGAACGCCTATATGGAGGGCACCAGCCCCATGCCCGTGAGCGCCCCACCACATGCTGACACTGCCACCAGAGTGAACATGTACCCTGATGCCAGCAGGCCCCACCCCTGCTCCAGCCTCCGGTGCAGCACTGCAACTGCCACCACTGCAAATGCCCACAAGGAGGCCAGCACCCCTGCACCTGCCAGTACTCCACCACAGCATGCATCCTGCCATGCTGCCACTGCTGCTGGTACATGAAAACAAGCACAAATCCCACTGCTACCACCCAATAAAGCATTTTGACTGGCACCATCCATTGGAGTGTTGTGACCAGCAGCCTGGGAACACCTCAGCTCCTCCAGGGCAGAAGGTTCCTAACCTTGAAGGGCCAGAGAACAAAGCCAGGGCTAATACCAGCCCCCCAGAGTTAGGGCACTCAGTCCATAAGTCCTGAGCTTAGTCTTCACCCCTAAAATCTTCCAGAAATAAAGCCAGTCAAATGAATCCACCTGATATCAGAATCAAACCCCCAAGGGTATCAAAGAGGATTTTTTTAAAAAACCATCCAAATGATAGCAACTTCAAAGAGTGAAGGAACAACACAGCCCACAAACATAAAAAAGAACGAGTACAAGACCTTTGACAACTCAGAAAGCCAAAATGTCTTCTTACCTCCCAATGACTGCACTAGTTCCCCATCAATGATTCTTAACTAGGCTGAAATGGCTGAGATAACAGGAATAGAATTCAGAACATGGATAGGAACAAAAATATCAACATTCAGGAGATAGTTGAAACCCAATCCAAGGAACCTACGGATTATAATAAAATGATACAGAAGCTGATAGACAAAATGGCCATTATAAGAAAGACGCAAACTGATCTGACAGAGCTGAAATACACACTACAAGAATTTCATAATGCAATAGCAAGTATTAATAACAGAATTGACTATGCTGAGGAAAGAATCTCAGAGATCAAAGACTGCCTCTCCAAAATAACTCAGTCACACAAAAATGAAGAAAGAAGAATAAGGAAGAATAAACAAAATCTCCAAGAAATATGAAATTATATAAAAAGACCAAATCCATGACTCATTGGCATCCCTGAAAGAGAGAGGAAAAAACCAAGCAACTTGCAAAATGTATTGCATATTTTCATATAATCCATGAAAATGTCTCCAACCTGGCTAGAGAAGCCAACATTCAAATTCAGGAAATGCAGAGAACCCCTGCAAAATACTACACAAGGCCATCCCCAAAACACATAGTTATGAGATTCTCCAAGGTTGAATAAAAAGGAAAAATGTTAAAGGCCGCCAGAGAGAAGAGGCAGGTCATCTACAAAGGGAATCCCATCAGGCTAATAGCAAACCTGTTGGCAGAAATCCTAAAAGCCAGAACAGATTGGGGCATTCTTAAAGAACGGAATTTACAACCAAGAACTTCACATCCAGCCAAACTAAGCTTCATAAAGTGAATAAGAAATAAGATCCTTTACAGAAAAGCAAATGCTAAGGGAATTCGTTACCATCAGACCTGTCTTACAAGAGGTGCTAAAGAGAGTGTTAAATATGGAAAGAAAAGACTATTACTGGTCACTACAACAACACACTTAAGTACAAAGACCAGTGATATATAAAGCAACCACATAAACAAGTCTGTATAATAACCAGCTGACAATATGATGACAGGATCAAATCTGCACACACCAATACTAATCTTCAATGTAAATAGACTAAATGCCCCAATTAAAAGGCACAGAGTGGCAAGTTGGATAAAGAAGCAAAACCCAAAAGTATGCTGTCTTCACGAGACTCATCTTACATGAAATGGCACCCATAGGCTCAAAGTAAAGGGATAGAGAAAATCTACCAAACAAACAGAAAACATAAAAAAGCAGGGGTTGCCATTCTAATTTCAGACAAAACAGACTTTAAACAAATGATTTTTAAAAAAGACAAAGAAGGGTATTACATAATATAGTAAAAGGCTCAACTGAATGAGAAGACCTAACTCTCCTAGATATATATGCACTCAATACAAGAGCACCCAGATTCATAAAGCAAGTTCTTAGAAACCTATGAAGAGACTCAGATAGGACAGGTGCAGGGGGACTCACGCCTGTAATCTAAGCACTTTGGGAGGCCAGGTTGGGCGGATCACTTGAGGTCAGGCGTTTGAGACCAGCCTGGCCAACACTGAAAAACCCCATCACTACCAAAGCATACAAAAATTAGCCAGGAATGGTGGTGTGCACCTGTAGTCCAAGCTACTCAGGCGGCTGAGGTAGGAGAATCACTTGAACCCAGGAGGCAGAGGCTGCAGTGAGCTCAGATCATGCCTCTGCACTCCAGCGTGGATGACAGAATGAGACCCTGTCTCTAAATAAATAAATGAGACTGAGATAACTACACAATAATAGTGGGAGATTTCAACAGCCCCGACAGGATTAAAGAGATCATTGAGGCAGAAAACTAACAAAGATATTCAGGACCTGAGCTTAACACTTGACCAAATGGATCTTACATACATCTACAAAACTCTCCCCCTACCAAAATAACAGAATATACATTCTTCTCATCTGCACATAGCACATACTCTAAAATCAACCACACAATCAGCCACAAAACAATCCTTAGCAAATTTAAAAAAAAACCCAAACCAATCACATTTACAGATCACATTGCAATAAAAATAGAAATCAGTACTAAGAAAATCACTCAAAATCATACAGTTACAAGGAAATTAAACAACCTGCTCCTGAATGCCTTCAGGGTAAACAATGAAATTAAGGCAGAAATCAAGAAATTATTTAAAGCTAATGAGAAAAAAGATACAACATACCAAAATCTATGGGACACAGCCAAAACAGTGCTAAGAGGAAAGTTTATAGCTCTAAACATCCACATAAAAAAGTTAGAAAGGTCTCAAATTAACAACTTAACATCAAACTAGAAGAACTAGAGAAACAAGAGCAAATCAATCCCAAAGCTAGTAGAAGACAAGAAATAACCAAAATCAGAGCTGAACTGATAAAAACTGAGAAATAAAATAACACACAAAAAGTCAATCAATCCAGGAACTGGTCCTTTGAAAGAATTAATAAGATAGAGCACTAGCTAGACAAATTAAAAAGAGAGAGACTATCCAAACAAACACAATCAGAAATGACAAAGAGGACATTACCACTGGTCCCACAGAAATACAAAACAAAACAAAACAAAACAAAAACCTCAGAGACGATTATGAACACAAGCTAGAAAATCTGAAAGAAATGGATATATTCCTAGAAACATACAACCTCCCAAGATTGAACCAGGAAAACACTGAATCCTTGAATAGACCAATAACAAGGTCTTAAAATGAATTAGTAAAAAGCCTACCAACCAGAAAAAGCCCAGGATCGGACAAATTCACAGCTGAATTCTACCAGATAATATAAAGAAGAGCTGGTATCATTTCTACTGAAACTATTCCAAAAGACTAAGGAGGAGGAACTCCTCCCTAACTCATTCTACAAGGCCAGCATCATCCTGATACCAAAATCTGGCAGAGACACAACAAAAATCAAAACTTCAGGCCAATATTCTTGATAAACATAGATGCAAAAACACTCAACACAATACTAGCAAACCAAATCCAACAGTGCATCAAAAAGCTAATCCACCATGATAAATCTATCCCTGGGATGCAAGGTTGGTTCAAAATACACAAATCATTAATTGTGATTCACTACATAAACAGACCAAAAACAAAAACTACATGATGATCTCAACAGATGCAGGAAAGGCTTTCAATAAAATTCAACATCCTTCCATGTTTAAAAAAACCCCTCAACAAACTAGGCATTGAAGGACTATACTTCAAAATAATAAGAGCCATCTATAACAAACCCACAGCCAACATCACACTGAATGGGCAAAACTGGAAGCATTCCCCTTGAAAACCAGAACAAGACAAAGGTGTCCTCTCTCACAACATAGTACTAGAAGTCCTAGCCAGGGCAATCAGGCAAGAGAAAGAAATAAATGACATCCAAGTAGGAAGACAGAAAGTCAAACTATCCCAAGGAGCTTTTGGGCAGAGACTACGGGGATCCTACTACGGGGATTTCTAGGTATAGAATCATATCTGCAAATGCTCCTTGATCTGATAAACAACTTCAGCAAAGTTTCAGAACACAAAATCAGTAGCATTCCTATATACCAACAATATCCAAGCTAAGAGCCATATCAAATATGCAATCCCATTCAAAATAGCCACAAAAAGAATAATATACCTAGGAATACAGCTAACTAAGGAGGTGAAAGACCTCTACAATAAGATTACAAAACAATGCTCAAAGAAATCAGAGATGACACAAACAAATGGAAAAAACATTCCACGCTCATGGATAAAAAGAATCCATATTGTTAAAATGGCCATACTGCCCACAGCAGTGTATAGATTCAATGCTATTCCTATCAAAATACCAATGACATTCTTCATATAATTAGAAAAAAACTATTTAAAAATTCACATAAAAACAAGAAAGGGCCTGAGTAGCCAAGTCAATTCTAAGCAAAAGAACAAAGCTGGAGGCATCACATTACCCTACTTCAAACTACACTACAAGGCTACAGTAACCAAAACAACATGGTATCAGTACAAAAACAGATACAGGAACCAATGGAACAGCTAGAGAGGCCAGAAATAATGCTGCACACCTACAAACATATGATCATCAACATAATTGACAAAAACAAGCAATGGGGAAAGGACTCCCAATTCAATGATGCTGCGATATTTGGCTTGCTATATGCAGAAGATTGAAGCTGGACTCATTCCTTATATCATATATAAAAATAAACTCAGGATGAATTAAAGACTGATACGTAAAACCTAAAAGCATAAAAAATACTGCAAGATAACCTAAGAAATACCAATCTGGACACAGAAACTGGCAAATATTTCATGATGAAGATGCCAAAAGTAACTGCAACAACAAAAAATTCACAAATAGGATCTAATTAAACTAAAGAGATTCTGTACAACAAAAGCAACCATCAATAGAGTAAACAGACAACCAACAGAATGGGAGAAAATATGCATCAAAGCTCTGATATCCAGAATCTACAAGAAACTTAAACAAATTTACAAGCAACCAATAAAAAACTCCTTAAAGGAGGGCAAAGGATATGAACAGACACTTCAAAAGAAGACATACACATGGCCAACATGTGATAAAAATGCTCATTGCCACTAATCACTAGAGAAATGCAAATCAAAACCACAAGATACCATCTCACACCAGTCAGAATGGCTATTAGTAATAAGCAAAAAAATAGCAGATGTTGGCAAGGCTGTGGACAAAAAGAATGCTTATATACCACAAGGGAAAATGTGAATTAGTTCAGCCATTGTGGAAAGCAGTTTGATGGTTTTTCAAAGAACTTACAACAGAATTACCATTCAACCTGTCAATCCCATTATCTGGTATATATCCCGAGGGATATAAAACGTTCTGCCTTGAAGACACACGCACACATATGTTCATCACAGCACTATTCACAATAGCAAAGACACAGAATCAACCTAAATGCCCATCAGTGGTAGACTGGATAAAGAAAAAGTGGTACATATACACCATGGAATATTATACAGCCATAAAATCAAATGAGATCATGTCCTTTGCAACAATATGATGAAGCTAGAGGCCATTATCCTAAGAAAACTCATTCAGTAACAGAACACCCAATACTGCATATTCTAATTTAAAAGCAGGAGCTAAATATTCAGTATATATGGACACAAAGAAGGGAACAACAGACACTCGGGCCTACCTGAGAGTGACAGGTGATGGAAAACTACCTACCGGGTACTGTCAGGTGACAAAGTAATCTGTACACCAAGCCCCTGCAACATGCAATTTACCTATACAACAAACCTGTACGTGTACCCTTGAATCTAAAATAAAAGTTATTTTTAAAAATTAATTTAAAAAAATAAAATGTTCTAAATTAGACTGTGGTAACAGTTGCATAACCCTGTACATATACTAAAATCCAATGAGTTGTACACTTTAAATGGGTTAATTGTATGGTATATGAATTATTTTTCAATAAAGTCTGCTAAAAAAAAAATTACTGAACATCTTAACCCTTTATCTTATCCTTAATTAGCTGTGGGTCATTCTAATAAGCCAGTGTCTTTCCCCTCTACTTTTTATATTTCACTACCTGATTTTCCATATAATTATGGTAAGGTACAGCAGCTAAAAGACCTCGATGGACCTTAATGGGCAATTCTCCTCTTACCCCTATATTTATCCCAGTGGATGTTGGTTTCTTAGAAAGCACTGTCTGGGAAAAAAAAAAGAAAATAATACAAATATAAATAGGTCTAGAGGAAGCAATATCTTCAGGAGCCTAAGCTGAGGTTCAGTAAAAGATCTAAAATTATCTTAGTAGGTTTTGGTAGTGTGATACACAATAAAAGGGGAAAAAGTAAGTTCTACTTCATATGTACAAACAAAGCACTCACATATGAAAACATGGAATGAAACAGACTGACAGGAGAATGTATTAACTTTATAAATGACAACTTGCACCTATTCTAGCCAGTAACAACTTCAGAAGACTCATGATTTTAGTCTTGGTGACCTGACAGAGTACAAGCAAGTATGTGTTCAACTTTTATCTCCAAATCTGGATCAACAGCAACCAGACGGATTCTAATGTCACTAAAGACTAACAAGGAAATAAAAGCAGGGTTCAACTCAATCACAGATTGTTCTTTCTGACTGGCAAATTCCCACTTCATACAACTGAAGAGGGTAGAAAATTGTTCAGATTTGAGGGAAAGACTTGATATAAGTAACAAGAAAAATTTCACTAATTTCTTATATCATTCCCAATTGTATTGAGTAGATTTTTCATATTTTTACCTGAAAACCACATATGCATTATTTAGAAGCAAGTAGGTAGCCTGAATTCATTGTTATCACCATAACAATAATGAATTACACTTAAATGGCACCTCTGACATACAAAACTGGTTTACACAAAGATGTTATCTCAGACTTAATCCTCCCGTCTACTGAATAATTATTTCAGTCAGACCTGTGAATAGTACTCTTTCTGGAAAAATACCAATTGAAAGGTCTGAGCATGTTCCAAACAATATAAAATATCCATCTCTAAGATCTGATAACCATTTGTTTTCTTCTGATTTAGTAGAAAGTATCTAAACACCTCATTCTACCAGTACCGTGGAGTCAGTCTAATGGCCCAAACTACAGTACTGCCAAACCACGATAGATACGAAAACTGTCAAGAAACCAAGCTCTGAAAGCAATTTAGGTACAAAAGAAACTCTATCTGGAGAGCCACGAGGCAATGCTAGAAAAAGACAACCATACTGAATGCATGTGGAATGTGCTGCCATATGTGGACACATACCCACACCCACCTGTTTTTTAAATTAGACTATTTCTTGAAGAGAAAAACATTACAGTTTAGTATTCAACCAAATGCCAATATACATGAGACAAACATTTTTGATGATTGTGTCAAGATACTTAAAAAAATACAAAAATTATATATGATATATAATACACGCATATATATTATATATTTAATACTAATATATATTATATATGTATATGTATTAGATAATGTATATTATATATTTATATGTATTTGATATTAATATATATTATATATTTATATGTATTATATATATGTAATATAATATATATATATCTAAATATATAGATACATAATGTTTTTGCCATCAACTGTCTCATTTAGTTCTTTCCCAGTTTTGGTGTTTTTTTAATAAAAATTCATTTTTTAAATAAAAAACGAATAACAAATATATAATATACATTGTATCATAACATATAGATATATATAGTACATAGATATAGATGTAACATCTATAATATATGGATATATAGAGAGATATATATTATATTTTCCTGGAATACATAGATATGTAGATATATTTCAGGAAAATATAAGAGTATACTAATTAGGAAGTAAAACTGGGAAAGAACTAAATGAGGCAGTTGATGACAGGAAAAAATAATTAAAACCTAAATTAAAGGTCTATTTTACTAGATGCTACCTATCAAACCGTGAAATTAATGCCAAAATTAACTAAACAGAGGAACACACATAAATTTGGGATCCAAATTTGTGAATTCTGAGGTAGGTACCAAAACAACATCATTTTATAAGTATAGGCTTACATATCCTCCTAAGCCTAGCTCCATACTCTCACTTTCAAGTTTTGAATCAAAAGAATGTCTTTCTTTTTAAAAATTAATAGTATCAATTTTTTTCTGATTAGAAAGTAACAAATTTCATGACAATTTTTAAAAATAAAAAACAAAGAGAAGAAAATCACCTATAAAATGCTACCATCCAGAAATAATCAGTATAAACCTCTTGTGCAATTTCCACCTGGGCTTTTGTCTATGCACACAGCGCTCTTTCCATCTCTTTATTTTGCTATATTTCTCTTTGTAGCACTTATCACTTGAAATTATATTCTATATTTATTTGCTTATTATATGCTTTCCCTACTAGCACAGAAGCTCCTTGAGGGATGTTTGTCTGTTTTTTCACTACTGTAAGTCTTGTTTCTTGTTTCTTTTTTTTTTTTGAGACGGAGTTTCGCTCTTGTTACCCAGGCTGGAGTGCAATGGCGCGATCTCGGCTCACCGCAACCTCCGCCTCCCGGGTTCAGGCAATTCTCCTGCCCCAGCCTCCTGAGTCGCTGGGATTACAGGCACGCGCCACCATGCCCAGCTAATTTTTTGTAGTTTTAGTAGAGACGGGGTTTCACCATGTTGACCAGGATGGTCTCGATCTCTTGACCTCGTGATCCACCCGCCTCGGCCTCCCACAGTGCTGGGATTACAGGCTTGAGCCACCGCGCCCGGCCTGTAAGTCTTGTTTCTAGAACAATGCTGGCAATCATAGACATTCCATAAGTATTTGTTGAAAATATATACATATATTTTAATTAATATCATACTTAATTTTCTATCCAACTTTTTTCTTAACTTTATATCACAGACACTTTCCCTTATCTTCAGAACTTTATATCACAGACACTTTCCCTTATCTTCAGATATTCTTTGAAATTATATTTTTAGAATGGCTGCATATGGATATATCACGATTTACTCAAGGGTCCCCTACTATTGGGTATTTAAGGCTATTTCCAGTTACTTTACAATTCTAAATTATGCCGAGATATAAGCAAACCTTTATCTGTATTTTTTACCTATATTTTAAAAAATCATGTATTAGAAATTAATTTACCTCCTGGGTGGGAAAGCTTTTCCTTCCATCATCTGGAAACACTGATCCCTTTTTTTTACTCACAGTTTTAAAGGATGCTAGCCGATGACGTGCCTGTTTCATAGTTTGACTAAGCTGCCAGGGAAAGGGGGAAAAAAGCAAACAAAAGTAGGGTAAGTTTTAATACCAAATGTACTAGGTGTTTCAACAGGAACACAGGTCCCTATTATTTAAAAAAATGCCAGATCTAAGACAACAGGATTACTTGTGAAGGAGACTTTTATCTGCTGATAGTGTGGCATAACATTATTGTCATTATTCTAGACTGTACTTTGTAACTTGGTTTAAGAGCTGTTACTCAAATTGTTTTTTAAAAAATAATGTAGACTTTATATAAAATATGTACACAAAAATATGAGAACCTAAAGTCTGAATTAATATACTTGGAGATCACTGAGCAGACATATTCCTTACCTACTAACCACCTTTTTCAATAAGGAGTTATTTCTTCAAGTGGTCCTTGTATACTTAATTGCTTTCATCACTGCTTGCTAGGAGACTCTATTTCTAGTTTCCTTAAAACCCTTTTATCCCCAATTTACATGACTCCTTTCACTCCCTCAACATTTGAAGATTATAGCTACTTAAAGTCTTTTCTTGAATCTCCCCTCCTCCAGGAAGCCTTCCTAAATTAATTTAGTGCACAAATTCAAACATCTCAAAAGAACCAATCTTAAAGTAAATGTTACTTTAAGTAACATTTGATAAACGACTACTAATAGTAGTAATTTACTAACAGTAAATGTTGATTTTGTGTTCATTGCTTATCTCTAGTAATTTCAGTATGTAGCTATTCTGATTTATTTTTCAGAGAAGCACGCCTATTTTATATCTTATAAATTTGGAAGGAATATCTCATTAGGGAAACAAAGAAATAAATATGTATAATTTTAAGATAAGCACTGTATCTCATAGAGGAAAAGTATATCCCATACTAGTCAGTAAAATTATGGCAAAGTCAAGACCAGTACTAACCCATTCATTGAAAGTTTAATAATATCAATTCTCCCTTGAAGAGAAATGAAGGCTATGACTTCGCTACAAAAAATACAAAAAATTTGCATGGTGGCACATGCCTGTAGTCCATTACTTGAGAGGCTGAGGTGGGAGAGGTGGAAGGATTGCTTAAGCCTAGAGTTCAAGGCTGCGGTAAGCCAAGATTGTGTAACTGCACTCTAACCTAGACAGCAGAGCACGACTCTGTCAAAAAAAAAAAAAAAAAAAAAACACTTTTATGGCTTTTACTAATAATGACCTAAGGATGAAAACACTCTAACAGCCCAGAATTTTTACAGCACATCACCTCTGTGTATACCTGTTTCTAGAGGTTTATACCTTTAGCTAGAGAAATCAGCTTGACGATGCCTGCTTGTATTCACTGCCAAGTAAGATGGGTGTTATTGCCCTGCACCACGTGACCCAGGATTCAAAAATCCCCATTGCAACAAATTTGAAATAGGGGTTCAGAATCTTCATTTCCCATCAAGTCCAAACCTCTATTAGAGTCGCATTGATTACAGGGTCTTAAGCAGGAATTTCAACTGGTCCAGCAGCTAAAATACACAGTATTTTCCCTCTGTTTCTCTGCAGGTACCATCACCCTTCACCAAGCCTCAATCTTGGAAAGGCTTTTTCAATTACAAGCTTAGAGGACAGTCGTAGGGTGAATAATGACCACCCAAAGATACCAGGTGCTAATCCCTAGGACCTGTAAATATCACTTTATAAGAAAAAAGGGCATTTGCAAATGTGATTAAGTTAAGAATCTAGAGATCTTAAAGACCGTTGAGAAGATAATCCTGGATTATCCATATGGGTCCTAAATGCCATCAAAAGTGTCCTTACAACAGAGAGGTAGAGAGATTCAACATACAGAAGAGAAGGTGATATGAAAATGACATGCAGAGATTGATGTGATGCAGCCACAAGAACAGGTATGTCAGCAGACACCAAAAGCCGGAAATGTCAGGAAACAAACTTTCCCTTAGAACCTGAGGACGGAGCACAGCCCTGATGACACCTGCATTTTAGTTTAGTGAAGCTGATTCTGAACTTCTGGCCTCCAGAACTGTGACATAATAAATTTCTGTCATTTTTTTAAGTCATTAAATTTGAGGTAATGTGTTACAGCAGCCACTAGAAACTAATACAAAGACTGAAGTTAATGTTAACAAGCAATTAAACAAAAACATAGAACATAGGTGGATATTAAAAATTAAATTATGTAATAATTAAAATGAACAAGTAGATAAGTACATTGCTCTTCAAGATGATGGTGGTCTTTACATATACGTGTAATTGTGTGAATGTTTATGGTATATATACATTTGCATGTATACTTACATGTTTATGTTTAAATGTATATATGCATATGTGCATGTGTTGTATGTGTATAAATACTCAAAACATAAAATTTGACCAAAAATCTTTTCTGTCTAGAACCTTAGGCACACTATTGATTTTTTTGTAGTTGTTAACTGTTATTAACAAAGACTACCACTGAATCTCTAACCAAGGCTTCAATTCCCTGATAGAGATGAATTACTCATAATTACATATGAATTACTCATAATTACATAGAAACCACTGCAAATGAAAAATCACTATAACTCCAGATAAAACAAAAAGCCACAGATAGAAGGAAAAGTAATCATAGTTTACTCCTGGATCAGCTGTGATTAATGTTTTTCTAGTCATAACAATATAAATGCTAAATACAGATCTAAGCAAAATTACAATATAGCTATAAAGAGAGGATGAGGGGTGGAAAAGAGTACATGTGTAGTGGCAGCAGGGGACAGAAAGAGGAATAAATCCTCATCCTTCCTAGTGTGAAATCAATAAAGCTGGCAAAAAAATTTTCTATTAAGAAGGAGCTCCTACAACAAAGCCACAGATCATATGAAGAAGAAAAAAAAAAAAAAGGAGCACTACTACCATGTTACTTAGAAATATGAATATTAACACCAAAAGAGAAAACTACTCGCTTTCGAGGAAGAGGAAATGAGGCAATGGGCAAAGTACTTCTCTTGTTTAATAACAAACAAGGCACATAACTATTCTACTTATTTAAACTACGTACATATATACATTTAATAAAACTCAAAGTATAAAAAATGAGAAAAAAATCCCAGACAACATTCCTCAAAAAGCTTCCTCTCCATGAACAACATAAGAATATAAATGCATTTTTCATTCTCATATTGCATACATACATATGTACATTTATCAAACCTCAAGAATATCTTAGAGAACATGGGCCAGAATTTTCTTCCATTCAGTAGGCAAACCACTGCCAACAAAACTTCGCTTGCACTGAGCCCTAAAGACTATATATCCCAGATATACCAGACAAGCAAGTCACAGTAGCTTCTAAGGAATATTGCCAGGTCCACAAGCCTTATTAAAACGGCAACCTTAGACAACTTCCCCCCTAGCCTTAGCTGATTGGAGCAAGGTTTGTACAGCAGTATATCAGGTAAAAATAGGCCTTGATGCAGTGTCTTCTGCACACCAAATGTCTATTTTGTACACAGAAATATAAACAACTAGCAAAAGGACCTCTTTGTAACAAAACAAAAATTGTACTATATAAAAAATTTTGAGAGTTAAATCTTAAAATCTAAAGCAAACAAGGATTAGACAGTAAAATTTGAAACATCAAGCAAGTATGAAGGATAAAATATGAAAAATATGGATATCTAACTACGATATTGTTCATATTTTCTTCAGTTCTTTTTGTGTAAATTTTTGGCCAATCAGGGATAAGATAGAATTTATAAGTAACTGTATAAATGAAACAAAATGAATCAATTAGTATCATGTAGGTCATGAGAAAAGAGTATAGATAAGATTTATAGAATTTTACCTACTTATTGTCCACTTTAACAATTTAAAGTATATTGTTAATGCCATAAAAATCTAACCAAAGTTAAATTCTATTCAAGTACAATGTGGTTTATTTGCAAATTGTATCATACTGACTTTTAAATGTGTTAAACTTTTCAGTGGCCAGAAAATACTACACATTAAACGTTGAACTCACATGAGCCATTTTTTATAACCCATGAATCCCAATGTAATGCAGCAAGTTGCAGTACTTTTTTTTTTGTCACTGTAGCTATCAACCTGTAAGATCATCAGTAATGTAGACCTAGTGCAAAAAGGCAAGCTGGGCCAATAAATATTCCTTACCTCAGATCATAAACTAGGAAATATTCAGAGAAAAGTTAGAGAGAGGACCTGAACATAAAAGGTCCTAAAACGGAAAAAAAAAAAAAAAAAAAAAAGGAAAAAGGGACCTCAAGTATACCAGTTACAAAGCTGTGATGAAGAGATGACAATACCAGTTAGTAGCAGAAAAATGATTAAATAAGAGACAAGCATACATGTAGACACAATGTGACTAACTGTACTAGTTTACCTAGAACTGTCCCAGTTTTAACACTGAAAGTCCCATGTCCTGGAAACCCCTTGATCTTAGACCAATAGGGAAGGCTGGTCACCCTATGAGAAGAACTGAGTCAATGAAGCTAATGATCAAATTTTAGTGTGAAGATCAAAGATCCCATGCTCTCGGGGTCACTGGAGCTACCTCATCCAGAAAAACTCTCCAGTTGCATTCCTCAAGGGAGTTTGGGTTTGTGTGAGAAGCTGATTCTTCCCTTATTAACCCATGTGTATTTTTAAAATAAACTTTCCCTTGCTTGGGTTAGCCTGAGTTCTTGCAGTCAAAAGTGCCTGACTGAAATACTCATTTTTTCAATGGTAGATTACAAGAATGCAGAAGGTTATTTCACATTACTTAAAGCTTTACTACAAAAAGTAATTATTTCCATGGTTTTAAAAAGCTAGAGAACTAGCACTGTAAAGACAGAATCAAAATAAAAATAAGATAGTAAAAGATTCAGTGAGAAACCAAAAGCTGGAATAAACCATGCTACAAAATAGTAGCAAGCTGAATCGGGACAGAAAAATAGAAAGTTATTATATGGTGAGATTAAAACAATGATCAGTTGTTCTTCAATTCCCCCGCAAAATGCAGTTGTCAGAGACATCACAGAAACTCAGTCCCTAAGGATGAATATCAGTCCTAACGAAAAGAAAATGCTGGTTCTATATTATAAGATCACTTGAAATTTCTTCCTGTCTACAATTCTAGCTCCTAACTTCAGGCGACTAATCTTAACTGACCTTTGAACAAGCAGGTAATACCAAGTATTATCAAGTAGAGGGTGAGGTGGGGGAGCAGATTAAGAGAGATCCTGGCCAAATCATATTTGAAATACAGTGTTGCGTTGTTTTTGAGGCCCTATTTCAGGAATGTTATTTTGAAAAACAAAATAACATTCAGAAGAAATCAACAAGGCATTAGGAATACAGAAACCCAAAAAAGAAAAATGGCAACTATAATCAAATACTTGAAGTGCTCTCAGATAACATTTTATTTTTTATTACTTGAGAGGACAAAATTAGGACCAATGGATAAAAGTTATAGGAAAGAAGATTTTTGACTCAACAAATTAAAAAAATACTTGTAATAATTTCAAGTCTTCTAAAAATAAAATGACCCATCTGAAAAAGTAGTAAGTTGTCCAATAGTGGAGGGGCTGTGGTAGGAATCAGATGGCCATATATATATTAGAGATAATATAAAGAGAACTGAATTCCTTAGAGAGAGAAAGGTAGGACCAGATAATATCCTTTTTTTAACATTTAATTAAAATTTAAATAAATTCAAACCTATGGAAAACTTCAAACATATACAGAAGTAATCAGAACACTATAATGAACCGTCATGGACATATATGGATACCTCACTTTAGCATTATCAACTCCCAGCCAATCTTGCTTCATCCGCAACTTCCTACTATATCATTTAAGTATATTCCAGACATCAAATCATTTTACGCATAAATGTTTCAATATGTCAGATGAATTTTTAAAACCCTTCCAAGATTTCATGTTTCTATAACTTCAACACAAGAAAACTGAGACATGTACTAACATTCAGAAAGTAAATTATGTATAGCATTTAACCAACCAGCTTTAGATAAACGTAAGGGAATTAGTGCCTGAACTGTCTCATTGTTTAGTTTCACAGTGACATCTAGTGGATAAAAACTGCAACAGAAGTGGTAAGATTAAAAAGCATCTATTGTCATGGAGACATATATAGACAAAATTTACAAGTTCAAAATAGTTAAGTCACTGAACATTCTTCAGTAGTTCGTGTTCTTCCCTCCCCACCCCCTGACCAAAAAAAAGCCACGGGGATGGTTATAAAAACTTAAACTATCAATTAGAAAGGCTCCATCACTTATTCCCAAATACACCAAGCTCACTGCAGTTTCTAGGTTTTATTTTTTTTAAGAAAAAAATATCTTGGCCAGGTGCTGTGGTTCATGCCTGAATCCCAGCACTTTGGAAGGCTGAAGCAGACAGATCCCTTGAGCTCAGGAGTTCAAGACCAGCCTGGCCAACATGGTGAAACCCCATCTCTACTAAAAATGCAAAAATTAGCCAGGCACGGTGGCGGGTACCATGATCCCAGCTACTCAGGACGGCGAGGCAGGAGAATCAGGAGAATCTCTTGAACCAGGCAAGAAGAGGCTGCAGTGAGCCAAGATTCTACCACTGCACTCCAGCCTGGGCAACAGAGTAATTTGTAGTTCAATTCTATCTCTCCCATGAATTCTTCCCCTACGGTTTCCTTAAAAATTTCTGAACTCCCGTAGCACAACTTTATTGTAAAATATAGAAAATTTCTCTATATTTTTATCTAACAGAATGAGTGGTCTACTAGTTTTGTTTTGTATCTCTACCTGAAAATATAAACCCATGGAGGGTCCTATTTCACATTTCCTTAGTATCACTACAATGCATAACAAACAGCATATGCAAACACTGCTGACTGATGAGTTGTATTTACGTATTACACAGATGAAGTAATAGCTATTAAGCACCACAAAAGCAAGGACTATGTATCTTAAGTCAGTGTTCTATTCCTTGTACTTTATGCAGTGCCTGGCTCAATAAATATTTCCTAACAAATAAAAATGATTCTTACAAACTGAACAATGACAAGAAAGAGTCAAATAGTCATGGACAATGAAAAAAATTTAATAGTATTTCAACACGATAATGTTTGCTTCTAAAGCTTTTCCTATTAATAGCAAATAGCACAATTAAATTATGACCAAGTATGTTAACTTAAGCAATAATACAGCTTTTATTTTCAAATCCTCATAATTTTCCATGTTTTCTCTCTTCCTCTCATTATTTCTAGGACTACATTTTAAATAAGATGAAGAACAATTCCTGAAGCACAGTTGAAGACTACGTCAACTGGACAAAAGCTCAGGTATACTAAGTTTGGGGCTAACTGGACAGAGTCAAGCAATTTGAATGGATGAGTCTACTCATAGTGGTTAATTTTTAAATATTAGTTATATAAAATGAGTCACTAAATATTAATTATATTTTTCCAAAAACTCTAAATACGTTATGCATTTTTTATACTATTCCTTAACCTACAACTATAGATCCATTTATTGTGATAATCAGATTAAAAAACAGAAAAATTAGACAAACATAAACAATAAATGAAATGCTCCCATGTATACTAACTTCTTTGCAACAAAGGTAAGAATCATTTCTCTCTGTATACTACAAGCTAATAGTAGCTTACCCAGAATATAATTTCAGTATAATTGGGAAAATCCATGTTCTTGACCTAAAGTGCTTTTGAATTCCAACACTTTGGCACCTTTCTTTAGTTAATTTTAGAGCATCTTATCAAAAACAAATAAATGTAAATTTAAAAATTTCAAAAAGCATTATCCCACTGTTCTCCACTTTACAAAGCTAAAACAAAAAAGACGTGATTATAAAAAGTGAAGCTGAATGCAATAACTCTTAATCCCTACCTCACACCACAGATGTCATATTTATAGTTTAGGGGATGGGAAAAGTATCAAAGACATAAAATAAAATGCACAGGTACTTACAGCCTGGGCTTGTTGTTGAAATAATTCATTCTGATTCTCTTCATCATCTGTTCCCTCCCCAAGCATCAGGGAAGGAGATAACCTAGAACTTCCGATAGCGGCATTTAAATTGTTTGGAAAAACACTTGTCCTTTTGAAAGTTAAGTGTGCTGGTGAAGACTGCATGGCTATAGAGCCTTCTTTTTCTGCCTACAAAAAGAAGAAAGGTGGATAGTAACATTCTACTCCAATACAGAGCAATCCAATAATGCCTCTAAGCAATTCAGGATTTTAAACTGGGGTGGGGGCAGGGGAGAGGCTTTACTGGCAGAGGAATTAACATTTACCAGGTACCTCTGATATGCTAATAATTTAGGTTATCTCATCTAACTCACACACAATCCTATGAGAGAAGTATCATATCCTTATTTTATGGATGAAGAAACTACAATCAATGAAGTTAATTAGCCAAAAGTCAATAGCTAATAAGTGGCAAAGCCAGAATTCAAACTCAAGTCTGAACCCAAAATTCTGACATTTTGTTTACTTGGTAAAAGCAAAAAAAATGAGTCAGAACATAGAAATAAAACATGGTTTCTCTACATAAAAATCTACTGTCCTCACTAGTTAATCAGATTATATCAAGCACATAATCAAAGGAAAGTAATTCTGTTACTGCCTAATAGCTTATCACATAACACACATACTTTCCATTCAATCTTTACTCAGGCTCACTTTTGAACTTACTCTTTCATAAGACTTCTGAAGCTGCTGCTTTTTTCTCAACCTAATTTGTTGATTTACTCGGTATTTAACTTGTTTCTGAAAATGTTTCAAAGCTTCTTGTTTTTTTCTTAGCTGTTCCTTTAGTTCTTCCTCAATCAAATATGCTGATGTCTTTAAAGATGAAAGATAGAAAATGAACTTAAATGTCAGCAGTTTTGTCCACTAGGGCTGTTGTAAACACAGAGCAGTCAGGATACAATCCTGAAAAAAATAATTCCATTCTGTACAAAAAAAAAATGGAATGCATGAGTACTCAAATCAAATCTTAATATTTTTATTGAACTAGAACTAAAGGTGTCTTCATTAATTCTTAATGAACCAAATTAAACCTATCATATGTTACACATTTTCTAAAATGGAGTAAATAGTCAAGACACACCAGGTTATTTACCACTCACCAAATATGTCCTATTGCAAAATGTCTTCATACTTGGCATTATGCTCCATTTTTAATTTGGCATGCCCTTCCTCTCATCTCCACCTAGTAAAGGCCTACTCAGTTTTCACAACCATTTAATATCCACTCCTCAGCACTTCCCACAACACTTTCTTCCTCTAAAGCCCTCTTATACTATAACACTTCTCATTTCACCAATGTTAACTGAGTATCATACTTCTTGACACCCCTATTAGATTATAAACTCTTTGAGGGCAGGATATGTATTCAATTCTCCCTTGTTTCCCCTATAGCATGTAGTACAGAGCCTTGACTATAAGGATAATCAATATATATTTATATAATTATCCAATTCCAAAACATATTCTAAACCAAGGGTGCCCAATTTTTTGGCTTCCCGAGGCCACACTGGAAAGACTGTTACATAAAATACACTAAGGACAGCTGATGAGCTTAAAAAAAAAATCACAAAAAAAACTCATAGTGTTTTAAGAAAATTTATCAATTTAGGCAAGGCACAGTGGCACATGCCTGTAACCCCAGCACTGTGGGAGGCCAAGGCGGGTGGATCACCTGAGGTCAGGAGTTCAAGACCGGTCTGACCAACATGGCAAAACCCCATCTCCACTAAAAATACAAAAATTAGCCAGGCATGGTGGTGGGCACCTGTAATCCCAATTACTTGGGAAGCTGAGGCAGGAGACTCACTTGAAACGGGGAGGTGGAGACTGTAGTGAGCTGAGATTGTGCCACTGCACTCCAGCCTGGGCAATAGAGTAAGACTCCGTCTCAATAAAAAAAAAACAAAAAAAAGAAAATTTATTAATTTATATTGGGCCACATTCAAAGCCATCCTGGGCCACATGCAGCATGCCACATCCCGGGCCCATGGCCACATGTTGGACAAGCTTGTTCTAAACAATCTGGCACACTTTATCCCATTTGAGTGCTTGATCTGCATTTATCTCCTCTAAGTGCTCTGAATAACAACCACAGTCATCATCATAATAGCACTTATCATTATTATGGATCTATTATGTGACAAATATTTTAACTACATTTTCTATCCTCAAAACCAAGTTTAGTAGTATGTATTCTTATCCCTTATGTTACAGATGAGGAAACTGGGATTCAGAAAGATTAAATAATTTTAATATAGCTGACTAGTAGCAGAACTAGAAGTTTCTGACTCCAACAATTATGTTCCTCTCTACACTGCATTTCTCTTGACTACGTCTTTCAATAGAAATTTTCTAATTAAATAAAATCATCATCATATCTCCTACCTATTCTTTCTTCTAACTCAGTGATTCCGACTTCTAATTCTGAAGGGTGCCTCAGATCATTTTACAGGCTGTCATTAAATTCTCAAAATCAAATGCATTCAAATTTCAACTTAAGTTAAAATTTCCAAGAAGTCTATTGCATAAACTATTTTAGTGGAATATAAAGTGTCAAAGAACAATTAGGTAAAATAATTCCAAAGAAGAAACATACATGTAATAAAGCCTGAACAACTGACCCAGATTAACTCAAGCCCCAGACAAGTTTAAGCTAGTCAGCCTCTTTGTTTTACTTCCATTCTCTCTGCTCCTCTTTTGCTCCATAAGATTATCAAACATCTTACTGAAGTATATGACTGATTACAGATTGTGGATCTCAATTGTAAACCAAATAAAAGAGTATACAAGATTTTAGAAATGTACTTTTCTTAGCAAGTACCATAGTGCAAGGCCACCAAGAACAATTGTTCTGTGGGATGTTCAGAGGTTCCCAGATTGAAATAAATTTTGGAAATACAGGGTTAAACACAGTGAAATGTTGTTTTGATTGTACAGCTAACTTCTCATAGCCTTTATGCACCTTATGGACTATCCAAGGGGGCCATATGGAATGAAGTGTTTCTCACAACATCCAAAGAACACATTCACATGGGATGGAGTTGGTGCTTAATGACATAGCAGTTAGATCTCTCTTCAATGAATCAAGTCTCCTAGCCTTCATGCTCTTGGGTAGTCCTCTCCCAAAGTGAATTTGGTCTGACTCCAAATACCTAACAAAATGAGGCAAATGAGCTCTGTGATTTCCCAAGCCAGGTCATAATGCAACTTCCACCTGGGTTCTTAACAGTGCTCATTCTGAAAAAAGTCAGCACTGTATAAAAATTCTGACTAGCCTGAGATTACCATGCTGTGAGGAAGCCCAAGTTAGTCAAATAGAGAAGCCATATGAAAAGAGAAACATATCTAGCCAGCATCCAGACATTCTAGTTATCCTAGCCCAAGTGTCAGATATGTGAATAAGAAAGCTATCATGAACATTACAGCCTAGCAGGTGCCACATGACTGGGATAGCCTGACTATTTTCTAGCTCCAACCAACAGCCAGAAAATAGTCAATATGTCCCAGACATGTCCAGTTACTTGAGCCCCAGCTGAGGCCCCAGACACTATGGAGCAGAGACAAGCCATAACCATTGTACCCTACTCAAACTCCTGATACATAGTATTATCTGCTTTATACCACTAAGTTCTGGGGTGGTTAGTTACATAGCAAAAGATAACCAAAACAAATTATAAAATAATGCAATACCCATATATGATGATAGAATAGCAGTGCTTTTTGATGCTAATTTATTAATAATTATTGGGGGGAGATAGTCTAAAGTTACGATATTTTTAGGAATCCTGATGGCCCCCTGAAATTTTGGGGAGAAAAATAATTAGAATTTTCCCTTCAGAACAGACGTGATCTAAGGGCCAAGCTTTAGAAGTAAACTATTCAGCATTTATTTTGAGCTGACAGAGCTGTATCTGTTAATAAGGGTGGATACCCAGACTAGATATGCTAAAGCTCTAAGGAGTTCTATTAGATGTTTGATCAAACTCCCTTTGGCTGGAACTGATCACAAATTTTTAAATCAGGAAAATAAGATACGTTTATCCATGTTCCAAGACTATTTTAAGTTAGTGTCTGTGAATACGATATTCAATACTTCTTAACATAGAAAAAGCTTGATGGTGTAAAATTTTAGGCATGTTGATACTACTGATATTATACAGATATAATTTGAGCAATCAAAAACAGGTGTCAACAACATAAATACCAAAATACCTTTATACCAAATGTTACTGAGTCCTGTGGGGTGTTTCTTGCATTTATACCTTCTCATTCCATTCCTTTTCTCTCTTTCCCCCCCAGCCCCAGAGATGGGGTCTCATTCTGTTGCCTAGGCTAAAGTGCAGTAGCACGATCACAGCTTACTGCAGCCTAAAACTCGTGGGCTCAAGCACTTCAACCATCCTTTTTCAAGGCTTTTCTTCTCTATTCCTTACCATTAACAAAGTTTTGATGCTATACTTCATGCTTAAATTGTTATAATTATAATTTATCCCCAGGATCCAACCACTCTGTATTCTTCAAAATCTTTGAAGCAATTAATCTAATCAAAACACCGGTTGATCATAAAATTCACCTGTAAATATTAAACAATTAAAGTCGATCCCTTCTCCAAAATTTCCTATGGTTCTCTACCATCCCTATTTTCCATAATCCTGTCAACAACCATTCTCCTACTAAATTTTCCACTCCAACCGATCTAATCTACCCTTAGAATCCTGAACCTTTCTTACTTCTTACTCTCCCCATTCTCCTTAATAGGAGAATCATTCCCTTCCCTTCTCCGATAATTCAAATTCTTCATTACACTTTTCTGGGTCACATCAACCCAATGTCAGAGCTTCCTCTTTGATTAAGCATTATATTCTTAGAACTTAGATATACCACCTAGACTCTTAAAATTCGTTTTGGAAATAGGCAGAGTAGGAATAAATCAATGAATATACATACATATGTGCAAACAAAAGTAAAATGAATATAGTATATTCCATTACTTTAACATTTACTTTAAATATGTCTCATTTCTCCTCTGAGATCAAGTATACTGAGGGAACATACCTCATACTTTTTTCATCCATGTTCAGCACCTTGTCTATATATACAGAAGACATTTTGTGCCTTTCATAAATATTTCATGAGTGTCTATATATATATTAGGCAGTCTTTAAGATAAAAGTGGGAGTGTGATGATAAATGAGATTTGTCCTCTAAGCTCAAGGAGCTCACACTGCATCAGGAAAAGATATATAAACAATCTATTATAACACAATGTGGTAGGTGCCAATTTAAATTTGAACACATAGCTAAGGGGCAAAGTTTAGTGAAAGACTATCAGAAATTGTGGAATTTCTAGTTAGACTTTCTCAGATTACCAGAGTTCATCCCCTTCTCCTTTATTCTATTATCCGATTTTTGCCTGAATCCTCATTACAAAATTTATCATAAACCTTAAGCAACCAATTAATGTTACTTAAAGTATGTCAACTGTCATCCATACTAAGTTGCAGTGTCTGGAAGATGTAGATAGTGCTATGTCTTGGGCACAGCAACCAATCAAGAGTCTGAAGTAAACTGATATACAGATATGTATCTATATAACCTGTTGCATGTAGATTATGGTCTATATATTATAGTAGGTGAGTAGTATTTGATTATGCCAGCTGAAGTTGCAGTCAAGTTTTGGCAAATACTTGTTTGTTCTATAATTCTAATGTAAGGACATAATCTATTTATGGCAGAATAGAAACAGCATCCTCGGATTGTTCATCTTTAAGCACCCAGATTAGAGAAAGGTAATAAAAAAGGTGGTGGGAAACTCCACCATATTTGGATCAAACTGACACTCACATATGCTGGGATTTCCAAACTATCTGGTGACGCAGGTTCCACCCATGCCCCAACTGGTACTATAGCCTGGTTCCTCTCAGCCAGCACTGCCAACACGTCCTTGCTCTTCAAGGGGTTTAAAGCCAGGGGCAACCGTGTGTTATTTCGAGGTTTTTTTCGGGCCATACTTCCCGGCATCTGTGACTCCTGGTTAGGAGAAAGAAAAAGCTTAAAATCTTCAAATGACTGCATTAAAAGTTCAACCTCCTAACACATGAGCCATAGGCCCGTGAAAAGGAGAGAAGCCCTGGAGGCAGAAGACTGGCACGGATTTGAAAAAAAGGATTCTAGAGAAAAAGGAAGAAAAGAAGGGAAGAGACATGGGAAGAAATAAAAAGGCAAGAAAGGTTTTTAAGTTGCTTTCTAGAAGAAATGGCCATGAGAGGGAAGAGAAAGGATGGGAATGAAAGAACGAAGATTGTGCCCAGCTGTGGGCGCAGCGAGGCAGGAAGGGCGGAATGACAGCCGCAGCCCGGGGGCAAAGGGAGGGGCGGGAACCTGGGTCTGCAGCCGAGAGTTCCAATTATCGGTATCCGGTTATGGGAAGACGCGCTGAACGGCTAGGTGCCTCGGGCCAGATAAAAGCCTGCTTCTGAGACCCGGAGGCCCACTCCGGCTGAGACAGCACTGGCCAGGAGTCCGCCCGCAGCTAGCCACAGACTCAGTCTACTCTGGGTACTAAGGTAACGGCCTCAAGCAAACCGCCACTTTTGGGTGGGCCTCTCCGTCCCGCCCTTCCGTAGCCTTGTGCCCGCCCCTTCCGGGCCCCGCGTCCCCTCCCGCAGCTGGGAAGACGGGAGAGGCGGGGTTTCGGGCTTCCCTGGTTTGGTCACTTCCTTTTCCTGTGCGGCTGATGGGGCGGGAATGTGTGGGTGCGCGCGGTCGCTGGGTAATGCGCTGTCTGAGGCGTGGTGGGGCTGAAGTTCCAGCCCCGAGACCTCCTAAATCTCTCCGGAAAGGGATGCGTTGGGCTTGTGAACTGGCCGACTCGGCGGGCCAGGGGTCGCAGTAGAGGGAAGCACTGGAAAAGAATGAAACAGGGAGGCCCGGCTTCCTGGAGAAACAAACTAAGCTAACAAATTTTTCGGGTTCTTTGTGCAGCTCATTTTACCACGCTGTGTCGTGCATGTTATTATATTTGGACATCACGGCGTCCTGAGTGGTCTCCCTCTCTGCTGCAAGCTCTGCTGTAATCCAGAGACACTCGAGTATCTCTGTGGGATAATTTATTCATTCGGTTAACATACATTACTGCGAGCTTTGTATACACCCGTACTGTTCTAACCACCAGAGATACACAAGTATAAACGAAACAAATATCCCTTCTCAGGGAATTCACAGTAGAGTGAGGGGAAAATAAGCGAATAAACAAGGAGTGAGTAAACGTGTGTGATGTGGAGTAAAAGCTAAGAGGATAGGGAGTGTGGTGGGCAGGGTGGGAATGGGAGGGATAAAATACTAGAATGTCCAGAGAAGCTGCACTGAAGTACTTTTGGGCAAAGACTTAAAAGAGATAATAGAAGAAGCCACTGTGCTCTTCAACGGAGGCTTTATAAACGTGTTCCAGATAAAACAGCAAGTACAAACGCCCCAAGGTGCGGACAGTGACTGGAGCAGAGGGAGAGGGGAAGAATGCTGAGACAGGAGGTCAAAAATGGAAGGGCAGGCAATCGAATCGAACATGTAAGCCACCATAGATGTTGAGATGGGGAGCCACTGGAGCAAGGTTTGGAGCAAAGGAACACCATAATGTGATTTAAATTTAAAAAAATAATTCTGAGTGCTATAGTGAAAACAGACGGTAAAGAAGGCCAATTAGGCGGCTATTGCAATAATGCGGATAAGGGATTATGATGTCGGATCAAGGAAGTGGTGGTTGAGATCATGTTAAGTGATTGGATTCTGTATCTATTTGGGAGTCAAAACTGTCAGGATCTGTTAAAGGTTTGGATATGGATTGTGTAAGACAGATGTCAAGGAAAACTAGGGGCTTCATCCCGAGCAACTGTCAGGATGAAATTACTATTTACTGACACAGTGAAGACAGTGGAAGGAGTAGATTTGGAAAGGGGAAAATCAGGAGTTCAGTTTGGGGCAGATTAAGTTTTACTTACTAATCAACATCCAAGAAGATAGGATAAGGAAAAGTGTCTGGAGCTCAGAGAAGAGTTCTGGGCTGAAAATATAAATCTAAGAGTTGTTAGCCTGTAGATTTAAAGCCATGAAACTGGATGGAATCATCAAGGGGTTGAATATAGACAGATAAAAGCATAGATCCTAAAACAGCCCTAGGGTATTTCACTATTACAAAGACTGAGCAGAAGAGGAAGAGAATGCCAAGAGATTGAGAAGGATTTGTCCATAAATTAAGGAAGAAAACCACGGGGGTGTGATACCTTGAAAGCCAGGCGAAAACGAAATGGTCCACTGAGGGCAGACCATCTGTGTTAAATCCTGCTGATAGACCAAATAAGATGAGGACTGAAAATTGACTTTTGGATTTGACCACGTGGAAGTCACTGATAACTTTAAAAAGAGCAGTGTCTTTAGAGCAGTTGGAGAGCAAAATCCTGATAGGTTAGGCAAGAAAGAGTAGGAGAAGAAATTGGAGACAGCAATTTTAGACAATTCTTCCCATGAATTTTGTTCTGAAGGGACACAGTGAAACAGGTGGCTGAATGTAGAGGTAGGATCGTAAGAGAGTTCTTTAAGATCATAGCATATATTCTTCATTGGTGGAAATTGTCCAGTAGACAGGAGAAAACACGTGATGCAGGAGAGATATGAGAGAATTTGGGGATCTACAGTCACATGTCACTTAAAGATGGGGATACATTTTGAGAAATGCATTATTAGGTAATTTTGTCTTTGTGCAAACTTCAAAGAGTGTACTTACCCAAACCTAAATGCTATAGTCTACTACACACCAAGGCTATATGGTATAGCATATTGTCCCTAGACTACACCCAGCATGTTACTGTATTGAATACTATAGGCATTTGTAACACAATGGTAAATATTTGTATATCTAAACATAGAAAAGATACAGTAAAAATATAGTATTATAATTTTGTGGGACCACCATCATATATGTGGTCCTTCAGTGACCAAAATGTTGTTATGTGGCACATGATTGTATATCCTTAAGAGGGCAGAGGAAATGGAATCTAGTAAACAAGTGGAGGGACTGGCTTTAGATACCAGGAGGTACGGTTAATTATAATAATAGCAGTAAAGTTAAATTATACAGTATAGTGATAATTAGGTAATGTGGTGGTAGGAGCTTATGGAAATTTTCTTCTGATTATTCTGTTTTCTCTGTAAAATAGTATTGTAGCCATCCTCCAAGATGGCCCCTAATGATCCCCACCTCTTGGTGTTCACAGCTATGTATAGTCCCCTCCCACATTGTACCTAGGTTGGTCTGTATGACCAACGGAATATGGCAGAAGGGATGGTATATTACTACAGAGTTAGGTTATAATAGATATGCTCATGTGCACTTGCTTGCTCACTCTCTCTCCCTCCTTCCCTCCCTCCGTCTCAGATCTGCTCTGAGGGAAGCCATGTACATCATTAGCAGTTCTATAAAGAGGATCACGTGGCAAGAAACAAACATTCTGCCAGCAGCCCTGTGAATGAATGTGGAAGTAGACCCTCAAGCCCTAATCAAGTCTTCAGAGACTGTACTCTCAACCAACAACTTGACTGCAACCTCATAAGAGACCCTGAGCCAGACCACCCAACCAGAAACTGTGTGAGATAATATTTGTTGTATTAAGATGCTAAATTTGAGGGTCATTTGTTATATGAGACAAGTAGAAGGTAAGAGATAATGAAAATTCAGTAGAGTCAGTAAGTTGTACATCCCTGTGGGGGTCTAAGATTTGTTAGAGCTCATCAAAAGAATGTGCTAGAATAAGAAGTGGTGACCTGACAGTAGGATGCTTGAAGCTGAGTGTATGGAGAGGCTGTGATTATTGGTGCTGTCAAAGTCTATCGTATGACCAAAGAAGGGAAAGCTAAGGTAGGTGAAAGAAAAAGATCACTGGATAAGAAGAGGTCATAGAAACCAAGCACCAGAGCATTGAGTGGATGATCCATGAGGATACTGAAATCACCAAAAAATATAATAAGAATGATGTTGGAGAGAGCCAGTAGCAACAATTTTCAAGGAATTTCAGGAAAAGGCTTGGAAGTTGGTGGATAAGTATAGCTTGGAAAGCCAAGCATGGTATAGTCTGGTGATATGAGGTTCAAAGTTAAAGGTGAGGTTAAGAAAAAGGGAGGAGGTAGTTTAGCAATAGCACTGAGTAACTGAATAGCGAGAAGGAAACCCATCCTACCTCCACCCAGAGGGGCAAGGAACAAAAAACAGCTACTATTAGGTGACTGCAGAAGTAATTCTGGTTTTTGCATTGTTGGAATTTGCCGTTTGATATTGGAATATGTGCTTTAATAAATGTATGTTATACATCAGCTTAAAAGGCATTTCTCACCTTGCAGGGTTTTTTTTGTTTGTTTTTTTTTTTTTTTTTTTTTTTTTTTTTTTTTTTGGCTAATGACTGTTTATTTTAGACTATGGAAATGATGTTAGACAAAAACCAAATGTGAGCAGTTTTCTTATTCAAGTTCAAAATGGGCTGTAAAGCAGCAGAGACAACTGGCAACATCAAGAATGCATTTGGCCCAGGAACTGCTAATGAACCTACAGTGCAGTAGTGGTTCAAGAAGTTTTGCAAAGGATGGCCAGGCACAGTGGCTCATGCCTGTAATCCCAGCACTTTGGGAGGCCAAGGCCAGTGGATCACTTGAGGTTAAGAGCTCGTGACCAGCCAGGCCAAAATGGCGAAACCCTGTACTAAAAATACAAAAATTAGCTGGGCGTGGTGTCACACACCTGTAATGCCAGCTACTCAGGAGGCTGAGGTGGGAGAATCACTTAAACCTGGGAGGCAGAGGTTGCAATGAGCCAAGATCATGCCACTGCACTCCAGCAACAGAGCAAGACTCCGTCGCAATTTAAAAAAAAAAAAAAAAAAAAAAAAAAAAAAAGTTCTGCAAAGGAAACAAGAGCCTTGAAGATGAGGAGTATAGTGGCCAACCACAGAAAGTTGACAACGATCAATTGAGAGCAATCATTGAAGCTGATCCTCTTATAACTATACAAGAAGTTGCCTAAGAACTCAGTGTTGATCATCCTATGGTAACTCAGCATTTGAAGCAAATTGGAAAGGTGAAAAGTTCCGTAAGTGGATGCCTTGTGAGCCAACTGAAAAACTGAAAGAATCATAATTTTGAAGTGTTGTCTTCTCTTATTCTACATAACAATGAAACATTCCTCAATCAGATTGAGACATGCTACGAAAAGTAGATTTTATACAACAACTGGCAATGACCAGGTCAGTGGTTGGACCCAGAAGAAGCTCCACAGCACATCCTAAAGCACCAGAAACAGGTGATTGGTCACTGGTGGTCTGGTGCCAGTCTGATCCACTACGGCTTTCTAAATCCTGGTGAAACCATTACATCTAAGAAGTATGCTCAGCAAATCAATGAGGCACTGAAAACTGCAATTGCCTGCAGCCAACATTGGTCAACAGAAAGGGCCCAATTCTTCTCCATGACAACTACAACACCTGACCGCATGTTGCACAACCAACCCTTCAAAAAGTTGAACAAATGAAAACTATAAAGTTTTACCTCATCTGCCGTATTCACCCAACTGGTTGCCAGCTACCACTGCTTCAAGCATCTCAACAACTTTTTGCAGGGAAAACACTTCTACAACCAGCAGGATGCAGAAAATGCTTTTCAAGAGTTCAGCAAATCCTGAAGCGCAAATTGTTACACAACAGGCATAAACTTCTCATTGGCAAAATTGTGTTGATTGTGATGGTTCCTTTGTGATTAATAATGTGTTTGAGCCTAGTTATAATCATTTAAAATTCATGGCCCAAAACTGCAATTACTTTTTTTTATTATTATACTTTAAGTTATTGGATACATGTGCAGAATGTGCAGGTTTGTTACATAGGTGTACATGTGTCATGGTGGCTTGCTGCACCCATCAACCCCTCATCTACATTAGGTATTTCTCCTATGCTATCCCTCCCTGTTGTGAGATGTTACCCTCCCTGTGTCGATGTGTTCTCATTGTTCAGCTCCCACTTATGAGTGAGAACATGTAGTATTTAGTTTTCTGTTCTTGTGTCAGTCTGCTGAAAATGATGGTTTCCAGCTTCATCCATGTCCCTGCAAAGGACATGAACTTATCCTTTTTCATGGTCCCATAGTATTCCATGGTGTATATGTGCCACATTTTCTTTATCCAATCTATCATTGATGGGCATTTGGGTTGGTTCCAAGTCTTTGTTATTGTGAACAGTGCCACAATAAACATACGTGTGCATGTATCTTTATAGTAGAATGATTTATAATCCTTTGGGTATATACCCAGTAATGGGATTGCTGGATCAGATGGTATTTCTAGTTCTAGATCCTTGAGGAATCGCCACACTGTCTTCCACAATAGTTGAACTAATTTACACTACCACCTACAGTGTAAAAGCATTCCTATTTCTCCACATTCTCTCCAGCAACTGTTGTTTCCTGATTTTTTAATGATCACCATTCTAACTGGCGTGAGATGGTGATTTTGATTTGCATTTCTCTAATGACTAGTGATGGTTTTGCTTTGCATCAAATCATTGTGGTTTTGATTTGCATTTCTCTAATGACAAGTGATGATGAGCTATTTTTCATATGTTTGTTGGTCTCATAAATGTCTTCTTTTGAGAAGTGTCTGTTCATAACCTTCACTCACTTTTTGATGTTTTTGTTTTGTTTTTGTAAATTTGTTTAAGTTCCTTTTTAGATACTGGATATTAGCCCTTTGTTAGATAGATTGCAAAAAATTTCTCACATTCTGTAAGTTGCCTGTTCACTCTGATGATAGTTTCTTTTGAAGCTCTGTAGTTTAATTAGATCCCATTTGTCAATTCTGGCTTTTGTGGCCATTGCTTTTGGTGTTTTAGTCATGAAGTCTTTGCTCATGCCTATATCCTGAATGGTATTGCCTAGGTTTGCTTCGAGGGCTTTTATGGTTGTAGGTCTTATGTTTAAGTGTTTAATCCATCTTGAGTTAATTGTTGTACAAGGTTTAAGGAAGGGGTCCAGTTTCAGTTTTCTTCATATGGCTAACTAGTTTTCCCAACACCATTTATTAAATAAGGAATCCTCCATGCTTATGGTTAGGAATAATCAATATCGTGAAAATGGCCATACTGCCCAAAATAATTTATAGATTCAATGCTATCTCCATCAAGCTACCAATGACTTTCTTCACAGAATTGGAAAAAACCACCTTAAACTTCATATGGAACCAAAAAAGAGCCCGCATAGCCCAGACAATCCTAATTAAAAAAAAAAAAAAAAGCTGGAGACATCACACGACCTGACTTTAAACTATTTTACAAGCCTACTGTACTCAAAACAGCATGGTACTGGTACCAAAACAGAGATATAGACCAATGGAACAGAACAGAGGCCTCAGAAAAAATGCCACACAACTACAACCATCTGATCTTTGACAAATCTGACACAAGCAACAATGAAGAAAGGATTCCCTATCTAATAAATGTTTGGGAAAATTGGCTAGCCATATGCAGAAAGCTGAAACTGGATCCCTTCCTCACACTTTATACAAAAATTAACTCCAAATGGATTGAAGATTTAAACATGAGGCCTAACACCATAAAAACTCTAGAAGAAAACCTAGGCAATACCATTCAGGACATAGGCATGGGCAAGGACTTCATGACTAAAACACCAAAAGCAATGGCAACAAAAGCCAAAATAAACAAATGGGATCTAATCAAACTTAAGAGCTTCTGCACAGCAAAAGAAACTATCATCAGAGTAAACCAGCAACCAACAAAATGGGAAAAAAATTTTGCAATCTACCCAGCTAACAAAAGGAGAATATCCAGAATCTACAGAGAACTTAAACAAATTTACAAGAAAAAAATCAAACAACCCCATCATTGTTTGATGGGAATAGGATATGAACAGACACTTTCAAATAAAGATATTTATGCAGCCAACAAATATATGATAAAAAGCTCATTATCACTGGTCATTAAAGAAATGCAAATCAAAACCACATTAAGATACCATCTCACACCAGTAAGTATGACGATCATTAAAAAATCAGGAGACAACAGATGCTGGAGAGGATGTGGAGAAATAGGAACGCTTTTACACTGTTGGTGGGAGTGTAAATTAATTCAACCATTGTGGAAGACAGTGTGGCAATTCCTCAAGTATCTAGAACTAGAAATACCATTTGATCCAGCAATCCCATTACTGGGTATATACCCAAAGGATTATAAATTATTCTATCATAAAGATACATGCACACATATGTTTATTGTGGCACTGTTCACAATAGCAAAGACTTGGAGCCAACCCAAATGCCCATCAATGGATAAAGAAACTGTGACACATACACACCATGGAATACTATGGAGCCATAAAAAAGGATGAGTTCATGTCCATGAAACTGGAAACCATCATTTTCAGCAAACTGACACAAGAAGAGAAAACCAAACACCACATGTTCTCACTCATAAGTGGGTGTTGAACAATGAAAACACATGGACACAGGGAGGGGAACACACTGGGACCTGGGGGGAGGGGAGCTAGGGGAGGAGTAGCAAGGGGCGGCAGAGGGATTAGGGAGGGATAGCATTAGGAGAAATACTTAATGTAGATGATGGGGCAATAGATGCTGTGAACCACCACCATGGCACATGTATACCTATGTAACAAACCTGCATGATCTGCACATGTACCCCAGAACTTAAAGTATAATAAATAAATTTTTAAAAATAAATAAATGAAGAATCCTTTTCCCATTGTTCATTTTTGTCAGAATTGTCAAACATCAGATAGTTGTAGATGGGTGGTGTTATTTCTGAAGACTCTGTTCTGTTCCATTGGTCTATATATCTGTTTTGGTACCAGTACCATGCTGTTTTGATTACTGTAGCCTTGTAGTATAGTTTGAAGTCAGCATGGTGCCTCCAGCTTTGTTCTTTTTGCTTAGGATTATTTTAGCTATACAGGTTCTTTTTTGGTTTCATAAGAAATTTAAAGTAGTTTTTTCTAATTCTGTCAAGAAAGTCAATGGTAACTTCCTGGGGATAGCATTGAATCTATAAATTACTTTGGGCAGTATGGCCATTTTCATGATATTGATTCTTCCCAACCATGAACTTGGAATGTTTTTCCATTTGTTTGTTTCCTCTCTTATTTTCTTGAGCTGTGGTTTGTAGTTCTCCTTGGAGAGGTCCTTCGTGTCCCCTGTAAATTGTATTCCTAAATATTTTATTCTCTTTGTAGCAATTGTGAATGGAAATTCACTCATGATTTGGCTCTCTGTCTATTATTGGTGTATAGGAATGCTTGTGATTTTT